TGGAGCCATGCATGGTTCTTCTGACCCATCAGTAGAACTGATTTTTTCTTGGAGGTGACAGTTCTTGCAATGAAGAAAGGCAAACTGCACAGCACTCTCTCCCCTCCTAGATGCCCAGTTTCATTCAGAATATGGTGAGCAGCTTCATTGCCCAACTCTTTTGTTGTTCTATAAGATGAATATATTGAGTTCTGCAAATGTTCTTTCTCTTGGAGTGGAGAAGAGGTGATTTCTAATGGACTAGCTTAGTCACAGTATGTGGACACGCGGATAACAATCAAACTATTCAATTGAAATACTGGTTAAGCACTTTCTCAAATTCCAGAGCTTCAGTAAATATATTACATTTAACATGTCAGATGATTACATTTTTATCTTTTAGCCTACTATGACAACACAAATAGTTCAGTAAATCATAGATAAAAGTACTTTTGCACAAAAGAGTAAGATTAATATATAGAAATGTCTTCAAATTGACATATTGGACGAAACAAAACTATATAGATATTCATATTATATACTTTGTATTGTATCAGTAAGCATAGAGCAATATGGCCAGTGGATTACTCATCAGTTATTTGCATTGTAAATACATAAAGATCTTTCATATAGATAAAAATGTATGTAATACAATGGTGCATATTTCGTCCAAGATGTAAAAAGTTTCATAACTTTTCATCTATATTTTAATCCTTTGTCTCTCAGTCTCATCTTCCTACATTTTCTATGAATTACCCAGATTTTTTGGAAATAAGTCAGATGTTACTTACTATCACTGGCATATTATAGAGGCAGCTCTTATAGCATGAAGTCACACACTTGAGTGGTACTGGGTCTTTTGGGAAATTTAATAAGGTTGATTTTTCTACTCCTACAACAAGTAAGATAAGCCTTATCAACACCCTACCTAAGGATCACTATTGCTAATGTCACAAATGTTCTATTTTCTAGTCACAGTTCCCACTTTGTGCAATTTTTAAAGAAGTACAGAGAGACTTGTGCCAAATCTTATCTTATTAGTGATATGGGTGCCAAATATAGATGCAATATATATATATATATATAATTTATATATATATATATATATATATATATATTAATATTATATATATGTTATATTATATATATTATATATATAATATACATATATATATAATATATATATATATATATATATTATATATATATATATATATATATATATATATATATATATATATATATATATATGTATATTATACATATATTATATATATATATAATATATTATAATATATATATATATATATATATATATATATATATATATATATAATATATATATATAATATATATATATATATTTATATGTACATATATATATATGTGAGTGTGACACAGGCTGGCTCTCTTTTTTGCACATCCTTGGCACCTGAAGCCCACATGAGTGCCATAATATCTAGCACTGACAAAGAGTGCTTAATATGACAGCCATTGATGTTAAAGATGCAACATCTTGTGCACTTGCCCTAAAGGAAAAACTAATATATGTCGCTTAAAAAGATGGAAAGTCATTGTCAGAGAGATGAAATTATTTATGCCTACAGATGAGTAAAAAGGAGGCCCAGTGTATGTTACTTCACTTTATTATTATGTATATTGAAAAAATGGAAGATAAAAAAAATGCTATGAAAATACTCTCCTGTTAATAGAAAACTTGATTTTCCCCAATACTTTTTTATGTATTTGGCCGTTATGTAATAGTCACTCTGGAGATTAACGGATGAATGGTTAGCTATGTCTGTATTTCGTGTGGTGTTTTCTATCACGATGACTGTAATATAGTTTAGATAAGAAGAAAAAAATGTTTGTTTTGAGCCAATAAAAAGTGGACCAGAGTTTACTTCTTTCCATTGCTTCCCCAACCTGCCTCCATTTGAGGGGCGACTGTGGGTCAATGACTCTCAGGATGCATGACTGATTGTACGTATATAGAATCATAAATAAATATTTAGTATCTCCTTACCTATTTATATATATACATTATATAAATATACATATATATAATATATATATAATATATATATATAATATATATATATAATAATATATATATATATATTTAATATATATATATATAATATATATATATATATATACATATATTATATATATATATATATATATATTATATATACATACATATATATTATATATATATATATATATATATATATATATATATATATATATATATATATATATATACTACATATATATATATATATATATATATATATATATTATATATATATATATATATATACATATATTAACACACACACACACACACAAATATATATAAAATATATATATAAATTATATGGACATATATATATGTATATATATATATAGTATGAATATATATATATAATATTATATATAATATATATATATATATATATATACATATATATATACATATATATATATAAATATATATATATATAAATATATATAT